GATATTAGTATTAACTGTATCGGAAATCACTAACCGTTCTATACAATATTCTGGCCTATATTGGATATTTTTCAGAAACCAAGTTACTGAAACCATGACACCCCGAAATCGGGTATGAGTTGTCGTGCTTTTTAAATGAAAGTTCTTACAGACTAGGCCCTATCACATTACATTCGAACTTAACAATTTATTTCTACTAAGATGTGGGATATTACGTGCACATTGTGTGGTTCAATGCAAGATACGAGAGAAAGGAATCAATCAGGTGCTCTGTTGAAAGCATGCTCTAGGGTGCGGTCAGATGTGATGGTTAACAAACGCTCATTTTTACGTGAATGTTTACTCCGTCTCACAGTGACTTGGAATACAATACTCGGAGTTGACTTCATATTCAAATACAAAGTTGCTATACACGTAGCTGGGGCGGAAACACAAATTGAAGAAGTGACTGTGAGGACACGCTATTCCGAGAAAGTAATTAAATCTGTGGCTCACTTAGGGGTGTCTGAAATTATACGTCAAATACTTGGTAATGAACGAACAACGAAAAGTGATCGTCTGTCAACTGGTTCTCTACTCCGACAATCTAGCTCTGTTTCTTTCGGAGTGCCTCTGGAAGCTGGACGACTACTGTAGAGCACTCCATCAACACAAGTGACCAGATGCCACTACATTAACCAACACGTTGATTACCAGTACATTGCCAGCCACAGCTAAAAAAAATTATTGCACTTTTTCAATCATCTTGGGTTTCACCCATAGTTTTAGGAAAGAAAAAGATTCTTCCCTCTGATTATGTGTAGATTACTGACGTCTTAATATTATAACGAAACGTGACTTATTTCCACTTCTACGTTAAAAGCTATGAAGGGCGCTTGCTGGTTTTAGACTTTGGATCTTGCTTCCGGGTATTGGCAGGCGAAAGAACGAACCTAGGCCGAAAGGAAACGTGCATTTGTCGTGCCAAATGGACTCTACAAATTTCAAGTGATGCCTTTTGAATTAACTAAAAACTGAGCCAACTTCCAACGACTAATACGGATGGTTTAACATGGCCTGGTACTACACAAGTGCCAAATATGCCTTGATGGTATTATTGTGTATGGCAGCACGCTCGAATAGTATAATGCCGATTTAAGGACAGCGTCGTAAGCAATGAATTTTGAAGGTTAAGCCATTTAAATGTCGACTTTCTCAGAAAGAGATGTAGGAACTGAGAAGTAAAAAACGACCGCCATTATTAACTGACCACAGCCGAATTTCGCCAAAGACGTTCGCAGCTTTCTGGGATCCACTTCCTACAATGAACGTTTTGAACGCGATTTTGCATCTTTGGCAGCACTTTTACATCGCCTGACTAAAAAAAACGAACTTTTTGTGGACCGAAGAGTGCAATCAATCATTTAACACTATAAATCGTGTCTTATTGTTCCACCCATACTGGCTTTTTCGGACACTTCGGTTAATGGAAGTGATTTTATTCCTAATACGGATACTAGCTTGTCAGCTGTCTTGTCTCGAATAGCACAAGATGGACAGTAGCGGGCGCTAGTCGGCGGCTAAGTAAGAGGGCAACAAGCTATTCCACAACGTGTCGAGAGAACACTGCATGGAAATAATAAGCCATCTATGGCAGAGTTAAAGGGTCATTCCTTAGTGACGCGTCGTCTTTGTGCCAAGTGGATTGTATAGTGATGCAAAATAGCCCTTGCTGAAAGAACCACAAGTAAAAGTTTAGAATATTATGAAACAGATGCATCGACAGTTCGGGCACTCGGGAAAATGAAAAACCGAGCATGCAATTCGCCAAAGATTTTAGTGGCCGTCTATACAATGAGACATAATGGAATTTCGCAAACATTGTATAATGTGTTACGCCATCAAGTCACCTCAACAAATACTCCGTGCATCGTTAGCCCTAATAACAAAAAAAGATCCACATCGGCGAGTTGGCATTGATATTTTGAGGCCACTTACATTAACGAAGAACGTAAACCGCTACTCAGTGGTGACGGTGGACTATTTTGGCGAATGGTGTGAAGTTGTTCTCATTCTATAATAGGACGCCCACACGGTCGCATGAGCTTTCACTGATCATAAGGTTTTCCGTTACGGCGTCCCACTTTCACACCCTCCTGACCAAGGCACAGCTTTTAAAAGTCATTTCTTCGCTCGGGTATGCCAGATATTGGGAATCCGGAAAACACGTACTACCGTGCACCATCTGAAGGGCAATAGTTTGGTAGAAAGAACAAACTGAACCATCAAGAGCTTTCGACAATAGTTCGTCAGTAAGTCGTCGGCTGAATGCTGAAGTGATGCGATAACCCAATGTCTCCTAGTTTATCGCACATCGGTGCGTTAGTACACATGATTATCACCCGCCACTTTACTTTTTCGGCATAAACTACACCTACCTGTTGATATGTCATTGATATCACATGAGGCTCAAGAGCTTATACCGCACAATCTCCCGATTTCGAGGTTTTCTCTAAAGTCCAATGACAAAGCTTTGCGGAAATGGCTCAAAATCCTTAATATATCCCCAAAGTTTTCAGAAACTTTGAGGAGGTCCATCTACCACAACATTTTTCGCATTAAGCGGACATTCTGCACAATTTCGGTTCTCTCTAATACTTTCTTAAACTTGTGCGAAATCCGTCGATGTTCTTCGGAAAAACTCCGAGATTACCCATTATTCGGAAAGGACTACCGACATTATAACAAGTGCTCACAATTTACTGAGCATATATTGACGTTTTATTTGAGTTAACCTCTCGAGATAAGTACAATTTCAGGTGGCCTTATCTTGTCAGCATTTGCAATAACGAACGCGATAGATAGGCACTGCTGCAGTTAGAAGACTGATGCGTTATAAATGACATTATTTATCGGAGTTTTAGAAAAATACAAGTAAATTGTTTTTTCACTACCAACGTCTTCGATTTCTTAAAAGTTGCTGCCAGCTGAAAATAAAATAGGCAAGGAACACTTGTTTGAATATAAATGTTTGCAAGGAACTAGTGTAAAAATCAAAAACAGATATTCAGTTACAGACCTAAAGTATATTTAGCTTGCTCTTTCTTTGGATCGCCATTCACGCTTATTTCATATGTTTCTTGTATCATATAAGAAAGTCTGGCTCGTAACATCCATGGCTTATGTTATTTCTTTCTCTGGACAGATTGCGCTTTGGAACCGTGAACACAGAACATCTATAAATATATTAAGACTATTATTTGAACTAGTTTTGAATCGTCCCCTAGAATTCGTAATTACTGATACCTGTTTTATTTTAGTCCCGCATATGGTATAAGTAGCTGCGGTTCCAGTGTTAGCACTTAAGCTAGATACTTTTGGGTTGACTATTGCTCAACCTGTCCCTCATATCCATGGACGAGCTTTTGATGTAAGCAAGCAGATTGGTCATCATGTTAGACAGATCACTGATTGCTTTCACAATCCTTTTGGTATCACTGCTGTGCAACATTTAACTATCATGTTTACAACCACTCAAACTTACGGGTTACTAACTGTACTTGAACTCAATGGGAGGGGTGGTGAGGACACCTGTTTCCGATTAACTGCTTTGAGAGCATTTACTCACTGGACACTTACTGAGCTATAGGGGAATAGTTCTCAGCCAAGATGTTGACAACGGGAAATTAGCATGCAGTTTCTATTTTAGCAACCTTTAGTTCTTCAAGGGTGCACAAGTAGTCCCTCATTGTGCATATAACAACCCAAACAGTCAAACTTCACTATTAGCTTCTTCAACCTTCTGTGAAATGTCGATCGAGAGCCTCCCATTGAGTTTGACACTCTCTTGTCTGTAACCCATCTATAATCCCTTTTTGATTACGTTCTACATTATTTGTCTCAAACAAACGGTATTCAGGTTGGATAGAAGCAGTAGTCGAAGTCTCTGACAGTAACAACAACTCACCTGCATGGAGTTTGTAGCACATATTATCAGCGTTTACTTGGAGGAGGGAGAGATCTGAAACAACAGTACAAATTAGGACCATTGAATGCCTCGGGAGCAAGGACGCGACGTAGCAATACAACATACATAGTTGAAATATCTATTGACGCGGTTCGGAGGCTGAAAGAAAAACCCTATAATAAAATAGTCTTATACATCATCCTGCAAGTTTACTTTACGCAGGGCTTGTTTGCCTTCTTTCAGCACGTTTATCCTTCATTGCCTTCAATGAGAAAAACAGTCACGTTGATAACGTTACATGTAACTTAGTTGATAAAAAAGTTATCTGAGTAATGGTCACCACTGATGGCATTTTCTTTACGCTTTGTGAACATATACAGGAACTGTATATAGAATCACTTAGAAGGCAAACACTTAGTTGTTTTTAATTTCCACAAACAGTTACCCTTTAAGATTATCGATATGCCGCCTCATGAAATTACGAAATTGGGCGAAAGTCTATTGGTACATCACTATTACTGATAAAAGAAGGAAAACATCTAATGCAGAAAGATAAGTTGAAAATACAACCACAAAAAGTTTCTTATAGTAAACAGTCCCTGTTACATCTCCACAATTTCATATGTTCCGGGCTGCTTTTTATCATAAAGAAGACTAAGAGAAGTTAAGTTTTCAAGAAACTAGCGTCTTACTCATCGATGATTCTTAGGTAAAAATTGTCGACTTTTCTCTGTAATAGCATCGCCAAGAGCTCAGCACAATTTTGCGTATTATAGCGATCTTAACAAAGTTCGCGTATCTAAAACTGTTGAGTTATTCTTATCGCGTTGTTTTCTGTACCTTATCAAGTTTCAAACAAAAGGTGAGGTTCAAAAGAGTAACTTGTATCCCAGTTCAAGTTACGAAGTAACAATCTAGCCAACGTGTCCAAAACAGAAAAAAGCTTAATGAATGTTTTACTCATTGACTTTGTGATTTCATTGCAACAATAGACTATTTGAATATGAGGACACTTGATATTCATGTAACAAAAGAGACATCCAACAAACATACAACAATTGAAATGCGGGATGGCCGCCTCATACTAAACCTTTCAAGGTCATCGGAATGAAACGGCGGTCGACTTTGAGTGAGCCTGGCTTTATCACTCTCCCCTTAACCTCCGAGTAATGGCTCACCCCATTGTTGACGAAAGTCTCGGGAAAGACTACTCAAAAGAGCTGTTGTTACAAAAGCATTTGAAGTTCTTAGTCAGGTGCAAAAGCGAAAGTGACAGTACTTTGGACTATTGCAGAATGTCTGGAATCTATTGGGTTCTTACTGCTCTTGACTTACTCGATGCGCTGTCAGAAGTGGATGGGAATGAAGTAGTTGACTTTGTATTAAGTTGCCAAAAAACGTGTGGCGGATTCGCTCCGTGCCCCAAACATGATGCACATCTGCTTTCAACTTTAAGCGCTATCCAAATACTTGCAATTTATGACTGCTTAAACAAGGTGAATGTTGAGGCCGTGTGTGTATTTGTTTCCAAATTACAGGTGAGGTGTGTACGAATCTAGAAATTTCTTTTAATACTCTTATTTGTTACGTTTACATTCTGCAACACTGCCTCATTATATGATTAGAAGAAAGCGTTCTAATACTCTAATCCTGTGGTGTGATTTTGTGATTTTCTGGATCCATGAAAAAGCTCTATATGTGGCTAAAAACCTCGTGATTTTCAAAAGTAGGTATAATTGATATTAGGGACTGTTATTGGAACAGAGTTATCACGTCGTAGGGTGAAGAAATACATTTTATCCTTCTGAATTTTAAATTAGTCGTTCAAAAAGTTTTGTTGTTTAAGATAATACAATTTCTTGCAAGACTTATTTAGGGCTTGAACCGATATGTATTTCAGAGTTGGCAGTGCTTACCTACGCTTGTTACTCCTTGTGGGGCATAGGCCACCAACTAGGATTCTCCAACCAACTCAGTCCTGGGCTCTCTCCAGTTACTCCCCAACGCTCTTCATCCTCTGTATGTCTTCCTCCAGTTCTAAATACACTATGTTCTTTGGTCTCTTCCTTCTGCTTTCAGGGTTCCAATTGAAACCCAACCTAAGTCGGGTCTTACCCTGCGATATATTTAGATGACTTCCGCAATTTATGTCCTACCTGTGTACTCGTTTATTTATTTAAACACAAACATTGGTACAGTGAGGCTCCAGATGCATATGCGCCATGCCTCGTCATTCGATTTGTATGAGGGGTGGAGTAATTCCCGGATGCTCGAACTGGATCAGGTGGTCTTCTTAGGTGGCCACCCCCCGAGCATTTGACCTAAAAGTCTAGCCCTACCCATCTTCAGCGTCTTTCCCTAATTTCCTCTGCAGCTGAGATTCGGTATGTTTTCTGCCACAGTTGGTTATTGCTGACGGCCTCTGGATAATGGATCTCCAGTATCCTACATAGACAACTGGTCATATATACCTGCACTTTTTTATGATGATTGTGACAGTTCTGAAAGTTTCAGTTTGGTATAGTAGACGTCTTGACATTTGTACTAAATATTATGACCTTGGTGTAAGCTGACAGTTGCATTGAGTCCCATATGTTCTTCAGTTGTAGGAATGCTGCCGTTGCTCTACCAATTCCTGCCTTGACATCTTCATGAGATCCTCATTGTTCATCGATGACTCTACCCAGGTACATAAAATTCCCCACTTCCAGAGCTTATTTATCAAGTGTGGTTCAGTTGGTGCTCATTGTATTGTATTTTAAGACGTCATTTTTCCTTCGTGAATGTTGAGGCCCCACTACTGCAGGGGCTGCTGCTACATTGGCTGTCTCCACCTACATTTGTTGGTGTGTAGAGGATGGGAGAGCTAGGTCATAGGCGAAGTCCAAATCGTCTAGATGCTTCCAAGCTGTCCATTGTATTCCGTGCTTACCCTCAGATGTGGAAGTCTTCATAATCCGGTTGATTACCAGAAGAAAGAGGAAGGGAGAAAGTAAGCTGCATTGGCTGACACCGGTCTTCACTCGGAATGCATTCCTCCATGCACAACTTTACAGTGTACACCGTCGCATGGATTTTGTATCACGTTGGCAATCTTCCCAGGCACACTATAGTGTGGAAGAAGATTACATACGGTTCCCCTATCTACACTATCAAATGATTTTTTCATAGTCAAGGAAGCTGATGTTTATTGACGAGTTCCATTCAAATAATTGTTCAACAATGATCCGTGCTGTCGCGATTCGGTCTGTTCATTACAGATCTATACAGAATGCAGCCTGCTAATCTCGAAGCTGGGCGTATACTTAATCTTTCATCCGGTTCAGCAACACTGTTGAGAACTTTTCCTGATACTGATAGTAATGCGATGCCTCGGTAGTTCTCACACTTTTTGAGATCACCTTTCTTTGGTATATGAATGAAGTATCCTTTTCGTACAATGTCAAGATGTTTGAGATGCGTTTCTCCCCCTTTGAATGCAAATTGTTGCTTCAGGACTGTGCCAACACCTGAACTAAGGATAGAGAGTGAAGTAATCGAACTCGTTGACAACTTCACTTATCTTGGAAGGCTGATCAGCCCTAATGGGTTGGTGTCTGACGAAATTCCTGCACGGATTTAAAAAGCTTTGTCTGGCTTTTGCCAATTTACGTCACATATGGCAAAGGCGAGATTTCCGTTTATCAATAAAAGGACGAGTATACTGTGTGGCAGTTCGTTCTGTTCTACTTTACGGTTGCGAAACGTGGCCATTAAGTTTAGAGAACACTCATAAGTTATATTTAATCACAGATGTCTTGGAAATTGTTACTCGCATCCGTTGGGATCACCGGGTAAGTAATAGTGAGGTTAGACGCAGAGTATTAGACAATGATGATAAATCAATTGTTAAGGTTGTGAGTCTTCATCGACTGAGATGGTTGGGCCACTTATTACGTATGCCCTAGCATCGATTACCAAGGTGAGCAGTGCTGACTCGTGTTGAAGACGGACGAAAGTTAGGGGTGATCAAACCAAAGTGTGCCACCAGTCTATCAAGTCACTAATTTTTGGTTTGAGCCATGTTGATAGATGCAAACTACTTGATTGGGGTCTGCGTGGCTATCCTAGCCAGTGGTTAGAGACTCTGGGTGACATAGCTCAGAATCTATCACAATGACGTGGGTGTATACACTCTTTGTCTTCCTTTAAACCGTGAGATTAAGATTACTTTATACCTTTCTTTCTGCGAAGTAATTTCTTCTTCCTGTATCTTATCCTTATATGCAATTTTTTATGTATTACCACCATTGAAGTAACTACTTCTATGAATTTTCTGTTCATCTGGTTGTGCTAATAAGGTTTGGTAACTTGAACCGATGCATATGTGCCTGATCCTACGTTGTAGATGATTGACTGATTGTTCTTCTTTTCAAATCTTCCTGAAGAGAGTGTGGAGAACCTTTGTAGTTACTTCTGTGTCTAACTTTAGTGTTTCAGATGTTGTACTGTTTGACAGTACAATATTATTATCTGAAAAGTCGATTCATTTCAGATGTTTCTTTAACAGCAAAGCAGTAAATGGCTTAAGAATGGAATTAAAGCCTACGATGTTTCCAATAGTGCAAAGCTAGATACGATCTTGTAGCATTTCATCTCTACTTACTTGGTGATAACTGATGAGTCTATCCTGTCTTGTAAATACTTTCCAAGCACATTGGTTATAATAAGTGTAAATTGAAATCAAACTTTCCTGGTGTTAATTAAAATACTTTTATATTTACCATCTGATAAATGACGAGACAGCATTTTAGTTGGAAGTTCAGAGACGATTTATAGCCCTCATATGTTCTAGGACCTTTTATCTTCTTTGACATTTAATTCCACACATAATTAGTAGATTGCTGCTTTCGGTTTTCTCATTAATATAATAATTCTTTTAGTCACATAGAAGCTATGTGTAAAAGTGACTGGAATGTCAACATTGTAGGACAGAAGCTTTGTGATTACTAAATTCTTGCTCTCTTCATTGATTAATAATATCACAATTACGTGAAGTTCCAGCTAATGTCACTAAAATTCACTGTATTGATTAAAATTTACCATGATTTAGTCGTCTAACAAGTAAAGAGTTGGTTTCAAGGAACAAGCTAGGGATTTGATACTGTTTTTTTCCATCTTAATCCAACTGTGTTTTTAGTCATTGGCATAATCATTGCATCCCCTTCATCTATCCGTTTGGTGAAAGAATTTTTCGACTGTTATTTTTAAAATGAAATTGGATGCATCTAGCCATTTGCATCATAACCTTGTATGTTAATAAATGTCCTTAATGTTTCGACAGCAACCAGATGGAAGTTTCGCTGGAGATATTTGGGGGGAAATTGATACTCGTTTTTCATTTTGTGCCGTCGCTACACTGCATATACTTGGAATGCTTTCCAAAAATACTATTGACATTGAAGCTTGTGCTTCATACCTTGAAAAGTGTCAAAATTTGGATGGGTGTTTCGGAACTCGACCTGGAAGTGAATCTCATGCTGGCCAAGCATATTGTGTCGTGGGAGCTCTGGCTATACTTCGTCAACTACATCGATTAAATATAGATCGTGCTGCTTGGTGGCTAGCTGAGCGTCAGCTTCCTAGTGGAGGTTTAAATGGAAGACCGGAAAAACATCCTGACGTGTGCTATTCATGGTAAGCTTAGAAGTACTTTTACTTGAATGAATTGTTATCCATTTATGCTTTGTACAATATTCCGAAATACTTATGGGATGTGTATGTCAAATTTTCAGCTGTGAATCTTATGTAAAGTATCTACTCATTACATATATCAGGAAGATAAACGGTTAGACAGATGTATAGGATAATATATATATTTGCTCTCAATGATACTTATTTGTTCGGTTTTCATTGGAACCACTCAACTGCTATAATGCGCATATTTACAAAAATATGACAAATTTATGGACACTAGGTTTTATTTTAGTATTTGGTTTGAATTAGCTAATCGTAATGTCACTCGTCAAGCATGGACTGCACTCCGGTTTTGGTTATACTATTTCTATAAGAGGTTATGATGTTATTTGTCCGTCTAAAGTGAAGTAAGATAAAGTGCAAATCTGAAGCTTGTTGTCAACTTCTGTAACCTGCAAATTACTTCACTGTGTTTCATAATATCAAAGGTTGTCACAAAAGTGTAAATTAATGTAGGAACAGTCGGATATTCGGGTTATATCATTTAACAGAGAATCGGCCTCTGAAATGCACAAACAATTTCCTCATTTTACCAAACAAATGGAATAAATTTAGAATGGTTTAATGATACTCCGGATGTCGATGTTTCATAAAATTAAGAACGTTTTCAGATACCATACAAATCCTTACCGATGCAACGGAAGATAGCAATTTCTCACCATTTTGTTTGAGTTCGGTTTCCTGCTAATCTTTACGTCGGTTTTGTTTGCGTTTGCAATACCAAATCTCGTATCATATCAGGCTCATTTTTGTACTTTGATATTTTCTAGGTGGACTGTAGCTACTCTTACTATATTTGGTCGTTTGACATGGATTAACCAGACTGACCTTACTCGGTTCATTTTGGCTTCTCAAGATGACCAAACTGGCGGTATAGCAGATAAACCTGGAAATATTCCTGACCCATTCCACACTTTATTTGGTCTTGCTGGTCTCTCTTTATTAGCCCAAGTAGATTCATATTTTTCCTCACCAAGGAAAATGGAAAATGGACTAAGTGGTGTAGAAGATCCAGCCCTTATCGCTTTACAAATGGCTAGAAATAAGTTGAAGACTATTAATCCAGTATTATGTATGCCCCAATACATAATAGATCGATTGCAGCTCAAATTTCAACTACTGTAAATATTTTCTACCTACTGTAGACTTATGTTGCATTCTAAGTTTTTTCCACTGGCTCTAAACATTTTATCCTACTACGTGGAGCTTATAATCGTTGCTCTTAACAGAATTGTGGTTCAAGTGTACTTATCAAAACGTTCCGGAATCAGTACTTTAGTACATTGTAATGCATACTTCTGACATCTTCAACATCACTTTGTTTGTGGTCTTTCGTTATTTGTACAGTCCCGGTGATGTTCTTTTAAAACATACTTCTTACTTGTAATAAAATTTTCAAAACAAAGGTTTTTTTTCTTGTTTTTAATTAGAACCAGCTAAGCACTCAATAAAACTCAACAATCCCCACAACCCCCATATTGTTATTTTCTCACTATTGTACAAATCAATTCTTCGGTAGTACCATACAAATTTTAGGATTTGTAACGGATTCTTAGTGTCACGTGATGTATAGCTTTGTTTTGGACTTATATCTTTAATTTTATCGTATTTATTCACACGAAATTATAAATTAGTCACATCACTGTTTAAGATTCACTTCGAGCTTGTTCAGAAATTTGGCATGCTTTTATTATGAGCTTGTAAGAGTAAGAAATATTCACCGAAATTAGAATGTTGAAATGTGAGGGAAGGATATCAGACGATAGTTGCTATAATTCTATATATTTAAGGGGTTCGCTTGACATCCAACAATAGAAACTGCTCTGTTGTTTACATGATTAGTGAAACAGTGGCTTATTGGTCCAACTTTCAGCAAATAATCCCCAGATTCGAAATTCTCCCAGTCTATTTGTGCGTCTGGATATTATCATTAACCCTCACACAGTGTTGGTCATATTCAAGTACCTGGAGAAGAAGGTAATTCAATTAACTTTAACTACATGACTATTGATAGTAAGTTGACTGGTTTTATACAAATTTATCCGGCCTAACTCAAATATTCCAACACTGTCCGACCACGAAAATGTTAATTTTATGTCTTCAAAGTACCCACTTTAATGAAATATAATGATGAATAATATAATACAGTAAATAATTTCAAGTGACTATATATCCCTGAAGGTTTGGGAAAATGAGAGAAGTTTAATGACATTTATACGACAGATTCATTACTATGAATGTATTTTTGCATATTAAAATTTCTATTAACATTAACCTAACATTTAGTAAAATGAACTGTGATACAATACAGAGTTTTCACCATAATTTGATGTCAGCCTGTTAGCAAGAAAGTATTAAGAAGCCATTTTATAGTTTGTAACTCCTCAGCAGCGCGTAATCATTAGCTCACTAGATATGAAATAGACGGCTTTCTTGATTTTCGATGTGAATGATAGGTTCAGATCACTGATTTAAAAGTCACTAGACCATACTTCATGCATTTTTTGAATCAAAGTTATTTTGATTCATTCACAAAATAGCGAAGGTAAATGACTGAGTATCTACAATTACTCTATATTTCTTAATAATAGACTCTGATCCTAACAACTTATCACCTCATACTACCTATAAACATACAAAAATAAGATTAGTATCATTCTTATTGATCCACTGATTTATTTGTTTGTTATTTTTTGAACAATGAGGCTGTACATTAAAGAGAGAAAAATAAGCTAAATAAACAGTGTCTAGATGCTAAAAATGTTTTATTTATTTTGTTTTTAAAAAGGAAACTATGGTCACTTTGTCAATTACGTTTATTCACTTATATGTTTCTGAAACAATCGACCTGATGAGAATAGAGTCTATATTAGTAATAATTATAATAATAATCACAATATCATTTTAAGTTGATTTATGTTATACATTGTTTAAATATTTATATATGTATCATTAAATAATAGTCTCCTTTTCAAATGAAACATTATCAACATCGATTAATTTCCATTGAACTATAAATATACAATCGAAATCAGATCTCAGCAGTGAACAATAAATTCATGAAAAAGAAGTATATAAACTGAGGGTACAGTGGTACAAATTGATTGTAATCCAAGATAAGAGAAAATATCTATAATTGAAAGGTTAATTAGTACTATTCAGTAGGAAAAATGTAACAAACAAATTGGCGCCAATTTTTAGTAATATTGTCCACTTTATGTAAGAAATATATATATATAACTGTTTGAGATAAAAAATACCAGAGGCCTTATTATTTTAGGTTAGATTCTCTCACCAAGAGTATATCTTTAGTAATCAAATAATTATAATACTGTTATTGATCACAAACTTCATGTTTTATATAGAAAGAAAAAAAAAGCAACTTTATGTATGTATAATAAGATAGAAACAGCGATTTCTCTAATATCTCAAAAAAATGCTCTGATACTGAAATCTGATTGAATATTTGTGTTGATAATTATAATTGCTATAAACAGGATTGATCATATTTGTAAGGAGATTTATGAATAATGAAATAATATTGGTCATCATCTTAAATGATGAAAGAAAGATCACGTAAAGAAAAGTAACAATTTACTTATTTCAACTTCTTTTCTAATTAATACAAAGAGATTTTCTTAAAGGTGTATGTTTGTGCGCAATTTGTTAGATTCAGTCGAAAAGCATCGGTTTTATTTAAATTATACATTTGATATTATGGTTCTATCATTGCTTAAATCTAGAGAATTTTTTAGAAAATTAACTGATAAGACGACTGAAATGTTGAAAGATGCTAATCATTTATATCTATCTGATGAATTATGTATAGTTGGAGGGAATTTATCTTGGTTTTTAAGTTGTCCTGAAGAATGATTCATGTTTATAAGGCAAGGATGCTCAGAATTGGTTATCATTCTTGCTCTCATACTTAAAGGAGAAACAGGACGTGGTGAATATGATGATTGAATATTTGGATGTAATGATTGTCTACTACATGAATGTTGTTGATGTTGATTTTCTGAGTATCGTGGATCGCCCCGTGGGAAAACTGATGGAGAAGAACTAGCAGTTAAAAGACTTCGTGTAGAACTGGCTGTTGGGACATGTATTGATGATGACGATTGTGAAAGATAATCAAAAGATGATTTCGGTTGTAAGTTCAAATTTATCATATTATTACTTGAACGGTTGGAATTAATACTTAGTTGAGTGCGTAGACTAATCAACTGGTGAACTCTACTAAGTGCCATGTGGTAATCAGTCAGTAGTTGCCTTCCGTACTAGAAAATAAAAATATAGTGATATATATACAAATGAATATCACATTAAAACATCGTAGATTAAAAGTTGAACGAATATATGACTAGATTTATTACTGATAAGCGCCTTATTTAATATTAGTCATTTTGTACGAACATATACTTGTGCTTATCTGTTTATAACACTGCTTCTATACATTCGAGTTCTCGTATTGGTTACTTCTTGGTAATCACTATCGTGCTGTCAAGACCTTAGCATCGATCAAATTTGTCATGTGATCGCTAATCTGGGGGAGTAGAAAGTCATAGTCTTTTTGTTACCATTTATAGTGAGAGCTTAATGGAAAGTTGATATTTATCATGGGCTGAAATCAACTGGAGAGCCATTGATAGCGATGGACAGATATTTTGTCCTAGTCTAAGACCTAAGGTCCCGAGCCTCAATGCCGGTCAATAGTGTTCATTGCTGGTATTCTACACTGAGAGAAAATAGCTGTCCAGGATTTCTTGATTTTCACTGGTGCTTTAACTGACGTTAATCCATGAACAATACCAATTTTAAGCACAACAATCTCCATAAATCACTGTCCTAATAAAGTATAGTTTTCATAATGTCTGAATTTGCTGCTGAAATTCAAACAAAGTTAAATGAGAAAATGCTGATAAAAACAACTTTTGATGAGGATTTAGGAAAGCCGACTGATTAAGTCATAAAGTAACAAATCCACTTTTCATTAATTTTTCTAATTCATCTACTAATCCACTTACTTTAGCAACACGTAGTCGACTAACCCAATGACGTAATGCTTTCTCATCTGTTGCACAGAAGCAAAACACATGTGTAGAAGAAGGATCTTGTGCAGAATATGGCTGAAATAGGAAACAATTTACACAATATCAAACAATTTCGTTTGCCATGAATTAAAACAGAAGTCACATTGTTGACATTTAATCTTTGGAGATTATAAGTATTTACTTACATGACCAAACCGAATCATGTTGAATGATAAATAATTACATTTGATGATCAGTTGGATTATTCCTCGCTTGTTAAAAAAATTTAGATGTCCTGAAATTTTATTATGTTTGTATTATTTGTGTGAATTCGTTATATAAAGCTTCTCTAACTTTAAATGTCTCCAAAGATCTCTTTCGATTGAGTTCATAATTTAAAACAATTTGTTTGTTTGTTTTTTTTGATAAATTTCGATAATGCAATGAGAAGACGAAGATCATCAGTATTATGTGGTATATTTGCGCAATACATTTCGAACAATCTGATTATACATATACTTGTTAAGAACATTTATATATGAAAATTAAAAGGTCAATTAGACAGGTTTAGGGTAAGTCATAACAAACGAAAAAATATTAAAGTACACAAAAACAAATGTGATTACCTCTGGATGATAAATCAGTATTAGTAGGGTAGGTTAAGTGTAAGGACAATTTGTTTCTGAACACATATAGGGGCTTTCAATTTCAGATTGTTCGAAATGTATTGCGCAAATATATCACATAATTCTGATAAACTTCGTCTTCTCATTGCATTATTGTAGTTCATAATTATCAATGAATGGGTGAAATCGGTTAAGTTACCAGCGATTCTTTGTCATACTAGATTCATTATAAAATTAAGACTGAAATTTATGGTTTGTATTATCAAATCATGTCATTAGGCGATGCTGGAACTGTGCACTGAGTAACGATATCTTAAAACCAACCTATGGGAAAAAGGTTTGTTTTTAGTATAATTAATAGTAGGTGATGCTAACACTGTATCGAATTTATAGGTTGCAATAGTAGAAATATTACAAAATCATCATGATTAGTATGAAATTTCACAATCACTGGATCTCGTTTAATAGCTCATATCGATTTTTTCATCCAGAGGTACATACATGTGATCTATGCGTGATTTTACGTATTCAGATTGTATAAATTTGTACAGTATTTACTTACACTTTCTTGGGTGTAAATTAGAGATAGCTACATTTACAGGAGATTTTAATTTAAATTCATTCAAAAAAAAAAGAACGTAGTAGTTTTATGGTAAATAATATGTATGGAACCATGATTTTGCTCTCAATTTTTCCCTCTCATTAGTCGTCATCCAATTCATAATGGTTGTTGAAATCCTAACCTCCCCGTAAAAGTATTTTAACTACTAGGTGGTTGAAAATAATAGACATGAAGTCCTGGACATATGTTTCATGTCATTTGTTACTCGTCGGAAAGGTGTAACCGTAATCTTGAGATAATTGACGCTCCCTGAAGAACTCAATCACGTGTCACTCAGAGTCACAGAATTATGTGTTGCTTTAAGTCTTCTAACATCGTAGCATGGTAGAGGTGATACCGAGTTACTTAGACTAGTTTTCACATCGCAACGTAGTCGCTCATTTTTCGCCACCCAAACGATAAAACAAACGTATTATTGATCACTACTCAGTGATCATACATCATATATATACAACTGAATTCAAACAAGCTATGTTACAGTATTTTTCTATAATGACCTGTTAATGAAGCAATGTTTGGCTTTTCTGACTGCCGCTCATAATCTCATTTATATTAAAAGAACCTAATTATATTTAAAACTATCATTAACGTTAGCAGACCAATTATCTATCGCGACTTGTCGTAAAAATTAGAACAGTTCTACACAAAAATCCAACAATTCAAGTATGTAAAATGATTTATTTTTGATTAACAAAAATAGAATAAATATATCCAAGTCATCATAATTATAGGTCATTTACTAAAGAAATAAAACAAACTAAATTAGAATCCTCACCTTGAATGCAAAACCGTGTGGAGTAGGTGCACGCATCCGTGACCAACCTCCTGTAGTTGTATAAAGTTTTAAAGGTCCATCCAAAACCAGAATACGAATAAGATCTGTAGACTGTTATTTAAAGGTGCAAATAAAATAATATATATGTACTATGGTAGTGATTAAAGCAGAATGAACGGTTGTATCATGATTGGATTACTAGCAAGACCTGAATGTGAATTCAAATGTTTAACATCTATGTAAAAGTAAATTAGTTGCCTACGTACACTGGTAATGAAAATATTTTCAGTGAATAACAGAATTTATATTGGAGTGTGTTAGAATGGTGAACATTATCAGAAGAATCCCCTTGGCCTATGATCTATGTTAGTTGGTATATATGATATAGTTATATTGACTATCGCATAGGATATAATACTCTTAATGGAATATAAAATTCATGTCATTCCGTTTCACAGTCACAGACGTTGCCAATGAATTATTCGTTATTGGAAAATAACTAAACTTTTTAATTCAAGATTGTGTTTTCCTTAAAAATTAATGAAAAGTTATGCTAACTGGTTTCAATAACAGTGAGTGTTCTAGAAAATTAGAGTTATTAAAACTATTATTCAGTATTTATAATGATGGAAGTATGAATAATACTTTGGTAATGAACAATATAATCTTAATTGCAATATGAATGCTTGTGATAGCATAATAAATTGATCAAATCATTAATCACTATGTCCCTGTTATTAATGGTAAATAAATAAAATGAAATAATTTCGTTTGATTCCTGCTTCATAGCCTAAAAATATCTTGCATGATAACCAGAATTGAATTCATTTGTTTTTTTCTTAATTTATGGAACAAATAAGTTTACAGAATCACAAACTGATAGTCGAGAAACAGTCGACCAAATACTCAATTTATCTGAAATCATCAAGTCAAACTTTAGTAATAACACCTACAATGAGTACATTACTTCATTTCTTATGTTAACAATTATTATTAATGTATTAAATCGATGACACTATCCGTATTGAAACTGTTATTATTTTGACTTTTTGCCATACATCTTGTTAACCTCATATTAATTTTCTCATACGGTGTACTAACTTAAAACAATCTACATTTCTGCCAGATTCTATATTGATATTTACCTGCTAACTGCATAGATAGTGTCTATCAGCTGTATGTTTCAAGAGCTACACCTTGAAAATATGAGATGTTCAGTCAATATAGAGAGACATTCTTATTATGTTCTACTAGTTGAGAAATTTGACAAAATATTCTGAACATTCATAATCTGTACTTACTGAGAAAGACTTTTTATTCTTATTTGAAGTATACAAACCGGAACTTCTTAAAACACATAGACGACGTGACCATGATTTATCACCAGGTTTACGTATAAACAAATAATCACGCCATTCTGGAAAACCACTGGTATCAATATTGTTCAACATTGTCTAACAAAAAAATATAAAAACACCAATAAAATAATTAAAAATAATCCTACTATCGATTGCTTTTGTAATTAAATGTTAATACATTATATGTGCTTACGGAATCGTCGGGTCACTTTTTCTCCTATTCTCATTTTCAGTTGTTCTTATTCGCGCTGCTTTCTATGCTCTTTCAAGCACCCAAAGTAATTCGATGCTGGACACTAACCGTTACAATAGACAATTACTTAGATTAGTAACAAACATAGTGATAACACAATGTGAAGCACTTGAACGAATCTGTTTAAGCTCTTACAACAAACACTTTGATAGCAACTATCAAGAACTTTAAGGTAACTGGTATCAATCTTTCTATATTTTGGAATCATTTTTTGTAGGCAATCAAAACGAATAATTAGTTTAAAACTGCCTGCGAACTATCAATAGGATAAGAAAAGTAGTATAAAATATCCGCTTTATTAGTAAAATGAGGTTATCAACTATACAGCCTTTGATAGTGGAATAAAATAAAAGACTAGAGTTTCATTTAAATCCATATATGACCTGTGGTTAACAAATCATTAGTTTTGTTTAGTGCACCTGAATAAATTTCAACGGACCAACAAATTTTACTAATCCCCATAATCCATTTGCAGAAATAATAAACAGATTTTGAATAGTGACTAACGGCGTTATGTATTACTAAAGTTTTGTAAAGAATTGATGACTGCAGAAGTTCAACCGTATATAGGGAGTGAGGCAGTTATCCACCTATAGCCCTAGATAACTCACACGCTATTGAGAATAATGAGAAACTGTGAATCAATGAATCCTAAGTCCTTGCTCGGAAATTAAGTACGTGATACAAAACTCGAATGTCCAATCGCTAATCTCTGACGAGTTTATAAATTAACTGTTGTGCAACCTCATATCGAGAACAGCTATCAATTACTTCCTGGATATCAAAGATTCTCTAACTGATCTAAGTCTATGATAAAAACCATTTCTAAGTATAATATATTCAGTTTCTTTTATTTATTATTCACTCAGTACCTATGCTTTATTATAGCAACACTAAAATTCTTAACATCTAACCCACACTTCAGTGTTTAGCAATTGTTACCAAATTTTACTTTACCACACAAAAGTCATTAAGAACTAATATGACTTTTATTTAGTCATGGTAAGATCGTTTGGAAGGTTCTCAAGCAACCTACAATCACTTGACTAATCCAACAGTCGATTAGTGTAGAGGCATCACTTTGTGTTGACCTAGAAACGATTGTCAAAGTTAAGTTCTCAGTATATCTTATGTTTTGGCTTTAAAATTATATAATACTGTTTCACGACCTCACAAATACTAATAATTTATCAACGTATATATATATATATATATATATATATATATATATATATATATATATACGATACAGCTGAAAATTTTTAGAATGTAGACTAAATTTTCATTCCAGTTTCTGTCTTTGTTTATACTAGGTTAAAAAAACTGATCGATTGTATTAGTTTGTCGATGAATTCGGTTTACAGAGATATGGCAAACGAAACACTTACTTGAATAGCTTCTGCACTATGAAAAGCTTGTTTTGTAGTGGTTTCTTCACCAATCCAATACTTGATAAAGGAAGAAAAAAAGAAAATATTTTTAAAAAAAAACACGACACAAATAATCTGGATTATTGTCAAAAAAATCATACAAACAATTGTGTTCTAGTTAAAAGTGAACAAATAATGTAAACTTAACTTCGTACAATCCGATAGTTATTTGAGGTCATATGAGACTAGTGAGAGAAGAATAAAAGGTAAAATGATTAGTCAAGTTAGAAAAATGCAAGCAACTCAATATTATGACATATTTAGCCCTATAACGAGAACCTCAACACGGATACGTTGATAAAAATTAAAATGTTAAGCTAAAGCCAGTGACGATTTTTACAAAAATAGTCGTGAATTATTGACTATGTCTGTTTTAATTCAGTACCACTAATTAACCAAACACAAAGTTGTATGCTAATCCAGAAGATACAGGTGTTTATTAACAGTCGTCTATGCAAAATACTTCGGATCCGTTGGCCGGACACTATTAGCAACAACCTACTGTTGGAGAGAACAAACCAGATCCCAGCCGGGGAAGAAATCAGAAAGAAGCGCTGAAAATGGACAGGACACACATTGAAGAAAGCACCCAACTGCGTCACAAGACAAGCCCTCACATGGAGTCCTCAAGGCCGAAGGAGGAGAGGAAGACCAAAGAACACATTAACCCGGGAAATGGAGATAGACACGAGAAAAATGAACAAGAACTGGATGGAACTAGAAAAGAAGGTCCAGGACAGAGCGTGCTGGGGAATGCTGGTCGGCGGCCTATGCTCCATTAGGAGTAACAGGCGTAAGTAAGTAAGTAAATTTGTATGCTTGAATTTGAGAAATACTTTGTCTAGTGTAAGTGCTGATGACAGTCGAGACAAAAGTAGATAGATAAAGACTTAAAACTTGAAATTATTGGTCATTATTGTTGACGTAACAAACAAATGGGACTTTGAATCAATTTAATGATATTTTCTATGTATATAAGAATGTTGGATAATTACTAATTACATTTTCCTTGTCTATATACTCAATACTTTAGTTCATATGAAATATGATTTAGCTTAAGGAACCTAGAAATATCAGAATGTAAATAATACAGATGTGAAATGATTCCAATGCATTTTTAAACTGTATACAATTCATTATCACGACTATTATGTCATGAATGTTTCTCACAATATTGAATTGAATGTTAACAATAATCGTCCCAAAAAATTTCTTATGGACTCTAATTAGAATAACTATTCGTTAATATACTCATTGATAGTAATAGTAATCAATTAACCCTACAGTCAAAATGTCCATACCTATTGTATTTCTCATATTGATTAGTACTAATAACAACAAATGGCTAAATAATCTACCAACAAGATTCCTGTTGTAAGATTTAAAGATACTATGTTTAACTCTATATAGATTCGTAGTGGTGTATTGTTGAATTATCTCAACCACGGAAAAATAGCTTTATATTATACTCTAGTTTGCAAATAGTTCACTAGCTGATACATCAAAGAAAACACTTAAATAAGCACTGTTTGTACACATTACTAAGCAGTCTAAATAGTATGAGTTGAGTAAAGAAATCTTTTCATTATGTTTTTATAATATTTCATAAAATTTACTGGTATTTGTAGAAAATAATTCATCATATAATGAAAATTTCCATTCTCCATGACTGTCAGCTTTTCTCAGAAATACACCAATGTGTTCTTTATAAGTGAATGTTACTCTTAGTAGAAACAATCAATGAACAGAATAAAAAAGTAAACAGACAATCAGAATTCGATTGTCACTACAAAGATGATACTTTAAGATTATATAAATTGAAATAAGATAAATAAATCACCCATCAATAAAGGTTTGTCTTTAGAAAAAGAACAAAATGGTAGTATTTTCTTATATTGAAGAAGTGGATTGATTGAAACGTTAAAACACGGTAAAATAACACTACATGAATATTGAAATAAATTTTAAAGATCTGTTTCTTCTACATATTTAATAATATATTTGTACTAAATAATTCATATTCAGAATATTAATGTGATTTGGATTTAACGAATATTGCATTTGTAATTCCATTGATCAGTTAGTATTTATTGAAAAGTTAATGATATTAGAAAATAACCAAAATTTACTTTCGATCATCAATAGGATCATAAACAGAATCATTTGATCTCTTAGTTAGTCATATTCGTGATCTGACAAATTTTCAGATATCAATCTAAAATATGAACAACCCTGTTCTGTTCATCTTTATCTATAACAGTGTACACATTTGTTTATATGTAAATAATGATTTCTGATCTGCTTATATTTCTGATTGATGATTATTGAACAGATTTTATAGATATTGGGTTTTCTAATAACTGACGTATAGTTATTGCAGTTATGAGTTGTTATGAAGTGATACACAATTTACCAGTCAGTAAAAAAAGGCAAATTTAACAAGACATGAATAGATGGATGTAAAGATTAGAAATTGTATGAGCCGTTCACAATGATGTATGGAAATAGTTGCCTAAATTACAATATTTTTAAAGTTGGATAGTTGTAAATATAAATTATGTGTTAATTAATTCACATTGAATTTTCACATATTTCCTTTAATGAACTATACTGCAGTTTCCCAACTCAACCACTGGCATTAAGTGATTGGTGAAAGCTCTGAATCTAGTTTTTACACTAATTTGGAACTTTTCAACAAAGTGTGTGTGAATTCTCAAGGAAGAGGATGGTCCATTTTAAACTCATACCTACGTATAGTTACATTTTACATTGGATTCAACATTATCGACTTCTTTTTACCAGTTTAAATTTTTTAAAATTCCAACTTTCTTTTTGTCTAAATCCAACAGTTAATGTCATAATAAACTGAAACTTCATATATATAGAAAGTATTATGTGAAATGCTTCACGTACTTATTAGTGTCTTATAATACTAAGATAATTTATGTTTCGAATTGACATTATTACTTCACGAAAGTTTTAATATAAAAAGTTTTGTATGGTATGATCATCAGTGAACTAGTTGGATAATTTACATTCAACGTAAACGTGAATTTCATAACAACTGTGTAAATGTAGCATAAAATAAAATGATCATCTGAATAGTTTACAATATTAGAAACATGCAAATACATTTTTCAATTATTGATATCTATGTATCGATAATCAATAAGTTAATAGATTTTAGAGTTCATTTAACTGTATGAATGTTTATAAATACTACTCTGTTGTTTTGTTTGACATGTTTATTGATAGGATGTACTGTATGACCTTCAGTTATATCCAGAATAATAGGGACAATATAATTTTTTATTCAGCTCTAATTACTAAAAGTACTTCAAATTATGCTAAAATATTATTTTCTTAACGTTGAATTTTATTGTGAATCTGTTGGGGAAATACAGAAAACTCCTCGAAAAAAGCCAACAAAGGCTTTAAAAATGCTGAGAAGCATATTATCCAATCAGCATTCAATAGAAGTTTTGACAGAAACATCTAGGAAGTGAAGAGTTAGATGTCGAGTTTCTGAATGGATGATTACCTATACTGCAACTATGTTTAGTAGCGCTCCAGAATTTTCCGGAAACCCAAGGCTATCTAAAATACTATAAAAGCCCTAGATTTTTTGTACATAAACGAACCTTTGGAGTAAAGCGTTTCTTCCATATTTCGCATCTTTTCAATTTGTTGTGTAGAATCTAGCGTGCGGGTTACTAGAAGAGCTTAGGGACCAAATCTAGAGTTCAACTAGAAGACTTATAAGAATCTTCAAAGTTTTTATTTTCTTTATGTTGATACTTAGAACTGTATTTGGTTAGTTTCTGCATCGATTCTACTGCTAACGATCTTCACGAGTATAACTAACCTTGCCAAATGAAATCTCGTTTAGTATTCAATCGGAATGCATGAATGATTTAAATCTAAGCATTTATAGATTTTTATCATATGAATCATTTTAATAATGAGTGTTAAACTGTCTGTACATTGTTTCTGTGTTTATAAGGTTGACTGTGTAATAATAAGGTAAAATGAAAACAACTGGTTTATCTCCTACTTATTTTAATTATAAATCAACGGTGTATAATACCATGCGATTTCGTGTACTGAAGGAAGTGAATGCTTAACTCAGGGGTTGTAATTTGATGATTTAAATTGACAAGATACATATCATCCGTAAATGTAGAAGCATATGTGGCGAGAATGGTAATTTATTTTGTATTTTCGTCTTATTTGTATAATCTCAATCTTTCATAAATATAGACATCTAAAAGCCGACCCACAGTTCTAAACATGTAACTAAAATCAATGTCTTTACCTCATAATTTGAATTTCAATCTTCATGAAACTATTTAACAATCAAGACTAAGTAGGAAATAGAGTAAGTAAAATGTGAACCTAAAGCTTTCTGTGCAATTTACAAGGTCCCGACAGTTTATTATGTATCGCTCACGGCTCAAATTCTGAGTAATTATGCATCTGAAAATTGAATTCTCATCAGGATTTTATGAAATCCTTTGTTTTGGTCATTTTAGGTCGCAATGAAAAAGTGAATTTATTACAGTTTAAGTAAATATTACTTCAAAACATACATCTGGTGATTCAACAAGACCAAAGTGATCCGGTCGTTCTTCAAAGAAGATCATATTTTGACTTTTTGTTGGCCAAGACAAAATACAATCAGAAACAATGTCATGTTCTTCAAAAACACGTTCTACAAGAAGAAATTATAAAACAAAGCAAAAGATACATCGTAAAAATATGTTATGATGGGTTTTAATTGTTAAAAAATAGAAGTTGGATACGTGTAAACTTTCATAAGGAAAAACTTGTCAGTATTCAAAATACATCCTTTCCTATGAACATTATTTCATGACTGATTGGGTCAGTAATATAACAACCTAGATAAAAATTAGATTAGAGAGGATATAGGAAATTGTAAAGTGTGTTCAATCAAAATTAAGGATGAAAAACAAACGTGTATAAGTAAAATACTGTTGTCACATATCCTGAAATTATTCTTAGATTACTTTCCCTTAAAATTAATCATTGCAATAAAAGTGATGTTCATATCACTAGTTAGGATGAATAGATTATAAGATACTGTTAACTTTAGGCAAATGGTAGATCGAATTCTTTATCGATTACGTGGTAACAACAATTATTGATGATGATGGTTATCCATATGATAATGAAGACTTATTTAAACTTATCTAAAAGTTTTTCAATTATATTTACTGAAAATGCAATAAGTTCAGATTTCGGCTTAAAATGCTGGTTCAATAGTATTAACGGTTTAGTACCAAATTACTTAATCACGAACTTAGTAGATTAGAATATAGCTTCTATAGTCATATCTATAAATCTGGATAGAAGCTGATATGACAGAAAACGTTTTTGTCAGTAGATGATATCAAAAAGGTATTTTAACGCAGTTGTTATCACTCAATAATAAAAGAATACTCAAAACAAAATAGCTGACCAATGCTTCTAGGGTTTCAGTAGTTGTTACATTTAGATCCATTCGCGCTCTCAATAATATGAAGAATGACTGAGAATAGATGTGTCTTCTATGGTTTGGTAATATATATTTTATTCTAGAGAGTTATATAAACCATTGAATTTTATAGTTTTATACTACTGACTAATCTTGATAAAACAACTATCTGAAATCAGAATGAATTGAACGGCTATTTAATCCACTTTTAGCGATCGCTCAAAATGTCACCTGGAATCGAATTTAGACATTTGAATTCTTGTGGAGAGTAGTGACATTCAAATCGTTGAGTTCTAATCCAGTGGTTTACATCCACAACTTCAGTCGATTTACGACATTATATTGGCTGCTATCCATCGGTATAGATGATATTTTTCTCAAGATAGACATGGATAATGTAAGTGCACAAACGTATGTTGATGCATCAAGGAAATATGGAAACTGTTCTAATCTATTGATAATCTCCCAACAGTTACACAAGTCTTTATTTTAAAAACTATGCAAACTATAACGGACTGTAAATATGTTAAATTGAACAAACTAAGCAGAAAGTGAAATGAACTAATAGTATTAAATTATTGTACATTACGAAATAGAAATCAGAATTAAGTGTGATAATGAAAATGATGTTTTCAACAATTTGATCGAAATTCAATAAAATTGTTTTGTTTTACCTATTTTTAAAGCTGGAACTTTTTCTACCAAAGCTAAATGTACTGAAGGTTGTAAAAAATTTTTTTCAATCATCATAGTAGCCACTTCACCAGCGGTCATTTGATGTTCAATTAATATTGCTTTAGTTGTTCTATCCGGACGAAACACACGTACTACTAACTAAAAAAAATAATTTTTGAGAAGAAAATTTAATTGATGAAAATTCTGTCTGAAAATATAATTAAAATCGGAGTATAGATAATTGAGGTAAGGAGATAGTCATTGATATTTTGCCTAATTGACATAATTGACCCACCTTTGGCAAACATGATAATAGAATTTATGAGTGAACATTAGAAAAGCCGTCCATTAGTTTGCTTGCGGAGGACATGTAGTGAACGTGAGCTCAGATAGGGAAGACTAATTTACTGTCGAATGAAAAATTACAGAGTGCTTTCGTAAAATGTGAAAACCGTACATTAAATACATAATTTACACACCATCCATCAGTTGTCTTTTACATGTTTCATGATTTTTTCAATTTTGTTGTTATTACTATAACTTTCTGTGCTCTTCAATTGAATCTTATCAATCTTTTGCTGACATGCATTTCACTTCCGATTGGTGCTGTTTACTACTTATATCTGTCAACATAAGTAGCATACATCGCAGATATATAAATATTTTCGTAGATATAATATTTATTATTTTATGACATGATCTAATGAATACAACTGAATAATAGCTATTTACTTAGACCAAATTGTTGATATCTAGTATACCAACTAAACAACTGGTAAGTGAAATATTTTTTTCTGACAAGAGTAAACATGAATAATAAACATTTTAAACAAGCAAATAGGGCTATGTAGGTCGCTCAAAAGAAGTTGAAATTAGCGAATGACCATCAAAGTTAAATCATGCGCAGAATCGGTAAGACGTTAAAAATTGTATTGATTTCTATCTTAAGCTACCTTAGTTTTTAATCAATATCCCAATTATTGTTAACCAACATTGACTAATAGTTAGTGTTTTATTCAATAAAAGCCTAATATTCGAATATTTTAGTGAAACTCATGAAACTTTACTTAAATGATCAGTTAAGGGTTGTGGAGATTGTTGGGTCTTAAATGAGAACATGAACCAACCAATATTAGACCACGCGTGAGCGAAGGTCCTGAATTCGTGTCCAGGGTATGGGATCGTGGCTGCTCACTTCTGAAGGGTCCCATACTAGGACGTAATGGCAATCCGATAGTTCCAGGTTTTTAATGGAGATCTAACACCAATCGGTCCTTAATTTAAATTTCACTCATATGAATAAGAAGCTGATATTTATTGTCCCAGAACTCTATAGATGAAGACTAGAAACGCTCATTGCACGTTAAGTTAACTGGGTGAATCCTTGCTTAATTAAATTAAGTCACTCAGTCATTACCGGTTTAAAGAAGACTTCAAAATGTCAAAACTTTACATCAGTAGATCAGTGGGAACTTAACAGTAGTTGAAATTAGGATGGGAATAGTAGTATTGGATTAAACTTGGATAATATGGCTTAAAAGAATAAAGTTGAAAAGTGAGAAGTATGAAATAATATTCGAATTAAAGATTTGAAATAATATAAGCATGGATAGTATCGATAGTGATGACATTCATTTTGAGCGATACGGTTCAAGATATTTAACCATAAATTAAGGTTGTTTGATGAAGCTAGTAACTTTCAAGTTAAATTAACTTTGACTTTTGAACTAAATTTATTTTACCAGATGAAGAGTCAGTTTTACACTTAAGTATTTTTTTCCGATGAATAAATTTGTTCATTGATATGAATAATGTGCAATCATTTGATTATAAAGGGATATAATGTAATATTATCAGAGTAGTTTAAATGACTGGTAGCAGTAATAATTTCAACAACTAACATTATATTCCCTAAATATCAAATTTAGTCACCATAGTAATAACTGAAGACTAAATAAATCAATTACATCATCAGAAAAAACTAGTCAAAACTTTAGGAATACAATACAAATATTTGATAAATGATATTGAATGATACAAATTTCAATCACAATCATAAATGCCAATTTTCATTGATCCTGTATTTATCGGTATTATTGATAAATGTTTGACCAGTCTATAGTATTATCAAGAAAACTAATAATAATAATAATTTTTGATGGAAACAACTATTAAAATTACTAGTTACATTAATTTGTTTTTATCGAAAAGAAAAATAATAAACATTTATATCAGATTATATTTGTATTCACGCTCTTATGGTTGAAAAAAAAACATTCACCAGAAAAGAATTAGGAGACAATAAACATTTTATTTTTTGCTAGAATGGACTGAAGTGAAATTGATTATTTTAAATTTTCGAAGGGGGAATTTAAGTTTTCGTATATGTGCTAAGTGAAATTGGTGTATATGTATGTGCATATTTGTATTTTTAAATGAATGACTATGTGTATGACAAATTTTTATTTAAGAACAATAAGCTTGTCTATTACATCATCAGTTTATATTAGATAGTATAAATTCATGTAAAACTAGTTAGTTTCCCTGTAATGCTAACAATTCACCAGTACGTCATTTTCTATGCTCTCTTTCTCTTCTACTACCTACAGTTTGATATTTAATGCATCGATTTAGCTATAGAGATATGTACAAATGTTTACATATCAATAGACTTATGTATATTGACTTCAAATTGTTACATCACAAACTCACTATAATTACATAACCACTGGAAACTAGGAAGCACGGAACAGTTATTTTGTGTTGCTGTCGGACGTCTCATCAGTAAACAACCATGACCCCACGGGGAATCGAACACAAAATCTACAAGTATCACTATGTACTTTTAACATCTAGACCACTGCATCGACGTTATTGTAACTTCATTTACATTGGTTATATTTTCATTACTCCAGACAAGATTAACTTCCACTGGTCATAACTTCTCACTAGAATTTCATAGTTTATATTTCAAGAAGTAATTCCTTGAATTCTAGCAAAAATTTGTAACCAGAGGAGTTCAATCATGTTAATAAACAAATAGTTATAGTGTTCAAAAGATATAGAGTGGTAATTAATCCAGAAGTTTTGGCAAAAAGTTGTTGAAAGATAAGTAATTTCACTGTGCACAGATAATCCTAGAAAACCGTGGGGAAGGAGAAGTAGAAATCTGCTTATTCTGTTAGCTCATAATATAAACTATCTTCAAACTGAACAATTTATGGCTTCGCGAAATTAATCAGAAGTTTGGAGTGTGTTCTTTTAATAAATTCATTTGCATGACTTAAAACATGTATAATGTATTACTATTTTCTTTATGTTCTCGAGGAACGAAATGCATGGTACTGTGATTTACGTAACTTTTTTATGTTTTCACTACAATGTTTTCTATTACATTTTAAATGTTTTTGGAATAAATCAAGCAGTTTTTTTAACGGTAAAAGTATCAGTTACCACTACGATTTATCATAATTTTTATAAAATATTCTACATGTTGGACATGTTTCTTTTTTTGTTGACGTTAGTTTAACACATTTTATAGTTTCATATTATTTTTTTCTTTTAAATCAATCAAGATTGTTTGTCTGTAAATTATAAACAAATAAATATTCCTTTTGTATTTTTATAGTATCTCTCTTAAAGTATTTACTTTACTTGTCTGTTCTTTTTCTAAAAAAACGAGGTGACTGACCTAGAATTATTACTGTAGACAATGAATAACTACAGTCTCCATGTAAAAGTTATGTATTAACATTGTGTGTATGTATGTGTTTGTGTGTGTAATATACTTATCTCTTCTCTATTTATATTCACTTATCATTGTTTAATGCATTTAAAGTGTTATGAAAAGGAGTATAATGTACATTTGGCTATTTTAATCGTAAAATTTTTATTATAGACTTGAAAAAATGATTATAAACTTATAATCATCATTGTTCATCTATCATTATAGTTACAATAGTTAGTATTTATGTAGGTTTAAAGTCAAGTTTAACAAGTAATAGATAATAATTTTACAAATACCATTTCATTGTTATGGTATCTCCCTATAATTGTTACAATTTACTATTCATATAGAATACTCATGAGACTGTGTAAAATGTAAAAGATTTTTTTATTATTTATTTACAAAAAGAAAAACAAACGTTATTTGCTCTAGTGAAATTAAAAAAAAAACAGTTTGATGTTAGAAAATTTAATTTTTTTCGTCTTTTGTTTTGTACGTGATAACTATGAGGATGATTTTGTTTGAAAAACTGACTTAGTCATATTTTTTGTATTAGACACTCTACATTCAATAATGAATAGAAGACTCCTAATTTCATTTGGTAAATGAACTAACATTTATGAAAAATTTAATGTGTAAACACAATATCACTGAAACTTCCTTTATGTATTCAAAAACACTTTGTTCTTTTAGAACAACATATATTAGTGAATAATATTGTTCTAAATTTGTTCTTATCCTTAATCTATCCTGGTTATTATCCAGAGTGGTTATCACATTGTTTTTGTGTACTTTATTTTTCTTCATTACAATTTACCTTGTCTAGTTGACCTAATAGTTTTCATATAAAAATGTTCTTAACAGGTATATGTGTGATTAGATCGTTCAAAATGTATTACGCCAGTAAAGCATATAATTCTGATAACTTTCGTCTTCTCATTGTATTATCGAAATTTATCAAAGAGACTAAGTGTATTGAACAATCCTCGTAGTTAATCTGATTAAATCATTATTGATAATAACACTCGAAAAGTTATTATTTTAATATTGTTGATATGTTGTTTCACTTTATGGTTTTGACATTTAAAAATAATAAGGAAAACAAAATGAAATTTGTCTACATTTTTTTGAAAATAAAAATGAAATTAATCAAACGGGGAGAAACGAAATTAGAATTTATTGTAAGCCGTAGAAATCCTTGATGATGAGGGCATAAGAAATTGACAATACTTTTGACTGGATTTAATACTAACTATGATAAATAATTAGTTTTTAAATGTGAATTGTGCATAGGTTAAAATACCACTTAATTACTGGACATTCAAACTTCAGTCTATTAATTAAATCTCGATTGTTTAAGTCATTAAATCTTCATTCCACACAATAATTCAGATATTCCAGTGGAGCTAATCCATGTCAAGTAGAGACAGATATGTAGCTGAGTACAAAGGAAGATGGTCGCACAATTTCGTGGATCGGTTGAGGTTAGACATTAACACCGTTGGATGCCGACTCAGTGGTTTAGAGATTAGGCGTTCGCGTGTGAGACCAAAGGTTCGAATCCATGTGAGCGGGATCGTGAATACGCAGTGCTGATGAGTGCCAGAATAGGACGAAACGGCCGTCCAGGACTTCCAGGTTTTCATTGGTGGCCTGAAACTAATCGGTTCATGGCTTAAATCAAAAACTTAATAATCTCCACAACTCCATACAGATTATTCCACAACTATTGTAAAGTGATAACAGATTGGCTCCTTAAATTCGCAAATAAAAATGCCAAAAAAAATCTAATATCTTCCTAAAAATCGACAAGTATATAGATGTCTCAAATATTTATAACAATCAAATAAAACAAATGAATTATGAACTGAGTACATCCAGCTGATAAGCTCCAATTCGAACGAGACGCATGTCCTTCATTTCCCCACTAGTTAGCATCCATTTATTCTCATAAGTGAATGTTTTACAAAATTTTCTACTAACTAGTCGTAAGTTTAAACCTTATCCCATATTATTATATCTGAAGTAACGGATAGCTCCCGTAATCTTTACACAATGCGTAACTCTGTCATGAAGTTAAGAACCTATTCTGTTAGACGTGGTTTATTACAACTATGCGGAATATTAGTGAGTAACACATTTTAAATAATCTGGTCATAGATATTAACTTGGTAAGGTATATGTGAGAAATAAACAATAAGCAAGACAAATCTGGTCTTCTGATTGCGTAGCCTAAATTTATCAGTGAGACATTAAGTGTTTTGTTAAATGCGAAGACAGATCTATGAAAAATTAGTCAAAGTTTAAAGTGTAAATCAGTAAGCTTATTTTCACTGACTCCGTTATATGGTATTAATTAAGAGGTGTGAAGGTTTCGGGCTATGATCTCTGTGTGGTCATTGATTCCCACCCATATATAGGACAAACCAACTGTCCAATGTTGACTGCTTTATAATATTAACTATCCTTGAATTCCAAAAAATCTTAAAAGAAGTAGTGAAACTATGTATTCTCTGGTTCGCCCTGTGTACCAATCCCAGTAATTGTGAGTTTGTACTAAACTGTTTCCTTCCCTGCATAATGTCATACTTTTATTACAGTAAACTTCTCAGTGAAAAATGTAGACATACTCAACCTGACTTATCTGAATATTTCAATAAAATACTGATCATTGAAATATAACTGAGTAGTAAAAACTTGTTAATGTCTACTCGTTGCCTCACTAAAGTCATATAGTACAACATATAAAAGGAATTGGATATTAAGTTTCAATAAAAATGTTTTATGTTCTCACAATTGATTGATGGGTGTTAGTATTTAAGCTCATTTATTGGTTTCATAACTTAGAATTTATTAATAATGAAGCTAAGTGGAAGTTTGGTTTTTTGCCACTTTCTAAAAAATGAAATTAAGATTCATAATATTTATACGGCTATTAAAAGTTGTTGTCAAAATACCGCGTCACCAAACAATGACTAAAAGGTATTCATCTTAGTTGTTAAGTCAGTTAACAAGTTGTCCAGTAGTACGTTATTTTAGTTTATCTCATTTTGATTTCAAATAGTAGTTTTAACCAAGCGAAAATCCAGAGTTACCAAGATGGTTGAGTTAGTGAAAAACTTCTCCCTCCAATTTTTAAATCAGAATTAAAATTTCGGATTACATATTAAACGTTTTGATGAATCACTAAGTCCCAAGGTATAGCAGGTGAAAATTTTCAACTCTTTATAGTAAAACAGTTTACATAACTTGCTGACAGAATCATTCTCCAAAAAATGAAACTGTTGTTTAGTGTTTACATCGTTCTCGTATGATTAGAGAAGCCTATAAATTAACACAATAGACTTCTATTACCGGTCATTCAATTTTATTTCCAAAAATTTTAAGTTCATGGAAAATTCGATTAATTTGGATAAAACATATTTATATCAAGTTCAACTTTATTTATGTCAATCTATTCATTTATCGATCAAGTACAAAGCTTTAAATAACTGAAATAAACTGCTTTAACTAATAAACAATAAATTCCACAATATAATCCCTATCCTTAATCATCGAGAATTACAAACTTGGAATTTCTATATCACCCTTGTATGATTAATGACAGATGAAACGTCTGACAAATTTTTTAAAAAAATGTTTTAGAGATTTCCAGGGATATGTTATCCATAAAATACAGAACAGACTATTATTTAAACATTTGAAAGAAAAGTAGTAATTAATCTTCTACAATCTTTATGTATTTGATGTATGAATGTTGAAGTATTTCCATGTTTACCAATCAAGAGTTTATTTCGACAATATCTGTTTATCGACAAAATGCTTAAAGATTTAAGTCAACAAATATTTAATGAAATATACTTAATTTTCTGTCTTCTTTTAATATAAAACATTTATTTCTGAATTTTCTTAACAGTGTGCCTGAAGCAATAATTTGGAATGATCGTGATAAGAATATTTTTATTGTTAATTTGTTATGCAGACAACATATATATATACAGAGAGAAAGAGAGAGGGAGGGAGAGAAAGATGAATAGATAAGGCTGTTATTTAGTCGTTAACATACTGTGATCATACGGATATGCTTTTATTAAATTCTTACACTTGGAACTTTATTGAAAATTAAATGTGTTGAAAATAAATACAGATACTAATGAAATGTATCTAAAGTTAATGAATGCTACCAAACGTCATTTTCGTCTAATCTTTCAGTGCTGATTGAATTCGATCAATTAAATAGTAATGTGATCACTACTCAATAATATGTTTTAATGTAAGGTGGTTTGAGTTAAACAGCAAGAAACTTTAGGTCTCGTATTGTGCTGTTTAGTATTCGACATAAAGACCTAACTGAAATTTTGATAGAATAAAATTTGATGGGCACTAAGAAACCAGTCAAACAGTGCACCGGCCACTACTCCATGATCACTCAGTGTAAATACCTTAATGCTATAAGACGTCAGTTGCACCACAAATGGGTTTTTGGCAATGTATCGGACTGAGAAGCTAGGTGATGTTGGCTAGAATCTTACAGGCAGAATGAGTTTCATAAGGAGTATAGGTACCACCTACTGACAAAATCAAATAGTATGAAACCTAGATCAAACAGGGTTTCGCATTGACTGCCTTAACCACCTAAAGTTACAAACTTCATTTCAGATTTACTGATAGACTGAATTCATATTACTGATTAGTTTAAATTTAGTTGTGCACCACAAAGTTTATATCTCCGACAAACGAACCAAGAATATAAATGAGACTATGAAAGACCACATATTGAAAAATGCATTTATTACAGCACACACATATAATTTTTAAATCGGTAGTAAACTAATTTGAACTCACTTTGTTAGCTTGATTACTCTCTGAACTGTCTGACATATGAAGACGGTTTAGTTCATTAGCTTCTGAACCCTATGATCACAACAATAAACAACAATGAGCAATAACATGGTTCAAAAATTACAAAATTCACCGTTACTAAATTAAGAATTTACTTTTGGTCATTAAATACAGAAGAACAAACGATCGATGAACTTGATAAAACAAACATTAATCCACTTGAATTGCAAAGTACATTCGGTATGATATTTTTTCAAGTCACAAATAAAGATGTAACTTTTGCCTGAGATCTCCTAGATAATATTTACTATTTAATAGATGAACAAGTTCTTGATTGTTAAATTTCCACTAAATCAGCCACCTGAACCATGTTTTAAATGTCAGTTTTTTAAAACATGATATGTGTAAACTAAATGAATAAATTTTTACCTTAAGTGGTGATACGATTCAAAGTTTGTGGATAAAATGTGTTTACTGTCTGTCATCTTTTTAACTCAAAGTTTAAATAGTGTTTACAGAGAACAAATAATATACCGTTATTCATTTAATTGAATATTTATTACTTAATTTCAGCTAAGATTCGTAAACTTTTCGGATTAATTTTTCCGATATCATTATGAACAAAGAAGGTCTGAACACTTTAAAAAGGTTGATAATGGTATTTTCAAAAAGGAATCTTGTAGTCCTATCAAAATTTTTGAAACTTCCGTAGTGGATGTTTTACAAATTGTATTGAACTCTTTCGAATTTTAACTTATTTATCAAGTACAGGTTCGCATACTCAGCTTTGAGCGACAAAATTTGTGTCGAAGTTAGTGATAGTACCTAGCTGGACACATCACAATCTATTTTGCCGGGTCTGAATCTCTGACTTACTGCATGAAAGCTTGGTATTTTATCAACTGAGCTACCACATTGAACACCCTAAAATTATGTCAAATAAAATTGTTTTGTATATTGATCATATCAAAGATATAAAAACTTACTGATTTATCTGATAATGAGCTTTCTGGACTCATTGAATTCGATAGACCATCGCTACCACCCCTTGCAGCCAATGAATTAGCTTTAAGGCAATCACGTCGTGTAAAAACTTGATCTGGTGTCCAACAGCCAGTTTCATTGACTGTAATATTTTCTTCACAATCACGTTCTTTCATTATTCCTGGATCAGAGTTGTTTGTTCCTTGATTAGTTGCTAATGATCCATATGAGCGGTAAACATCGGAACGCTTAGAACGAACATACGAGTTATTATTATTATTGTTATTAATATTAGTTTTGATGATTTCATGTTGGTCAGATGATGATGTAGGGATATAAGAATTTGAATTTGCTTGGTAATTTGGTGTAGGAGATGAACTAGGTGAAGTATTTGGATAGTATATTTGTTTTTCTACATTGGATTGTAAAGAATATTTTGGTTGAGTTTTTGTACTTGAGTTCTAAATAAAAGAATAGATATGTTAGAAATATATTAGTAACACATTCCATTCTCAAACGAACAAAATCTTCATTTTGACAAGATAGACTAAAGATTTTAACTTTCTTTAAATCTTTAAATAAAATTAACTTATAGTAAAAACATTTATTTATATTAAGAGTTTTAATGTCAAATATGACCTGTAAAGTACTACCATAAATTTATTAAGGCAAGGTTATTGATCACTATGATAAGAAAACTCGTTTCAAGCAGAAACAGACGATTACTGTTGATATTATCTACATTTTCTTTATAGACAGTTTTTGAAAACTTGCCTGAGCAGTTCAGAAGTTAGACATTTATGCACGAAACCAAAGGTCCTACCTAGGTTTGGTTTCCATTTTCGGGGCGGTGGGTGTTCATTAATCAGAAACCGTATATTAGGACAAGACAACTGTCTGATGTTTCATGGTTATCAATGGTGGTCTAGCTTAGATTGTTTTGTGAATTCGATAAAATTCAATAATCACCATAAACCCATACTGATGAATATCTTGTTGGTTAGTTAACTGGCTAATTTAAGCCATAACGTTGTTATTTAACATTTGTTTTCCTAATGAAATTCAGCAACTGGGTAGATGTGACGTTTATGCTATGATCTTTAAGTCAACATGTTTTAAAATATTAAAATACATAACTCAGACTGAATTAGACTATGTGAGGCTTGAATGAGATTTACGCAATGATTTAAATTTTTGAACTAATATCATTATTCACTACAAGCTACATTTATATTTGATTCTATAATTAATGAGTTAATTGAGTAAATAAGTGTTAAAGACTATTATATAGAAAGACTGAGTAAAATGTGAGGTACTTATATATATCTATTACATTTCATTAAGCTGGAGTTCTATCTCTCAGTAAATCTATTACAAATGATTAATAAACAAATTAAAAGATTAATTCATTTCCTCCATTTATTACCCAAATGTTGTTCCAGTTTCGTTCTCCCTAATGATCTATACTGGTATTTTCCACATATATATATATATATATATATATATATATATATATATATATATATATATATATATATATATATATATATATATAAAGTTCCTTGTTAATTGTTTTTTTCTATCTCAAGACAGACATGATAAATGAATAAAAGAACAATTCTTGAGGACATCGAATAAATGTTGGTCAGCATCAAATGATTCATGCAGGTAACTTTGTATTTTGTTTCAATTCATTAATCATTATTCAAATAAATAGTTTTTTTTAAAGATAAAGCAGTTCAAGTAATAACAATAATTGGCATAAAAAATTTCAGATAGAAGGATGTAATAACAAAATAAAAACCATTTATAGCCAAAATTAAGTGAATATAATTTTCAGTATTGGGATTTGTGGAGAAGATAGTATTTTCACAGTTGAATTCGCGAGTCAATTTAAGCTAGACAACCGTAGAAAAGTTGGAAGTATTGGACGACTGTTTTTTTCCCACTATGGAACTCCTCAGCAACCCGCATCCACGATTCTGCTCGCTGGAATCAAACCCATAACCTTCGGTCTCACGTGCGAACTCCTAACCACTAGATCACTGAGTTGGCATTCAGCGGTGTTAATGTCCAACTTAAATTGATCCATGGTCTTGCAGAACCCTACATCCATTGTCTGAGGTGGATTTCATTTCAATTAGAAAATAAAATCTTTTTTCAAAAATACATTTAGGAACTTTTAATTCCGGTTTTCCAGTCGATCAAGTTTATTTAACAAATTAATATTTTACATGTAACTTATAGAAGTATTCTTCAGTTTTAATGATGCTATCATACAAACGAAACATTGAGATTGTCTACAGTACCATTAAAGCTCCTATCAATGAACATCTTGGAAAATAGATTTCCGAGATTTTGGGTATAAATATTTTATTCTGCAGAATTTTGCAACGTCTGCAGTCGCTCTTTGATTTGTAGATGTGTAGGAGATATGTTGTTATTTCGAGTAACATCAGTGTGGTTTTATAGGTCTACTTGTTCTAGTAGAAAAGGTTAATATTGACCGTAGGATGCGATGTCTCTCAAAACCCATCTCCAGCATTACCATCGTTGGTTATCAAAAGGATTGTTAAACTCAGTTAGTGGTATAAGTTAAAAATATCTCATAAATATTGGTCAGGCAGTCCCAGTAGAATTCTTCATCAAATTTATCCATATAGTACAGTGAAATGGTTAAGATTGCAGAACACACCGAAAGATGCAAATGGATGGTTGAAGGCTATGTATATATATAAATACTTTGTAACTTCTCCCCTGACTGTTGTTGTGCTTTACACTCGTAATTATCAGGGTAGTATATCCAAACCTTAAGGCATTATTCCAATATTCTCCTATGTAATTGGTTTATTATAGCTGAGGATCAAAAAATAAAACTTCAGACTTATGAAACGTTTTCATATATTCTCAGAGCATGCATTCTCTATGAAACAAATTACCCTTATTAATGCATATAAATTGGTTGTTTGGATCTTTCTACTATTGTTTGCGACTGCAAATGATCATTCACTTTTTAGTATGTGTGCAAGTACAACCACCTGAGGAGCCTAAAGTAAAACGAATCACGCGTCCTAGATTCCACTGTTAGTCACCATACATATCTTCTTAAAATGACTTTGATTATATTTTACAACATAAAGTACTTACATCAATTTTTTATAAAATGAAAATAAACTTATATAGTATGCTAATAATTTTAAGGATAATCTTTCAGACAAAATTTATTTTCGGTATAAAGATAAATATACAATGAAATCAATAACCTTACTCGATATAATCCTCTTAGTTCATTAATAAGCTGTTTCTGAGTATCAAAATTTTGATACGACTGAGAATTATAAACTGGAACATGAGTTGTCCTTTGTAATTGAATTGTGTCTCTATCCTTGTCATTTAAACCACCATCATATGAGTTTAAATGATGTGGTTTCATTCCATTCATTGGGTTGTTCGCATGAATAACAGACCATGATTCATCACTTCTAAGTTGATTTCGTTGTGGAGATTTTTTCGGTATTTGTGAAAGACCATTTGGTTGTTGGATTAATTGTGAATGAGGGGAATATGAAGAACTAGGCGGAGAATTAGTAGGGCTTGCACATGCATCACCAGCTCCAAGAAATGCAGGCGGTGGTGGAGGAGGTGAGGGTGAGGAATCTTTCTTTAAAAATCTACTATTATCACTATGATCATATTCATCATGATTTAATTTAGCTGCCCATTCTGCACAAATGTAGCCATTACTTTTGTTTAAATTTTCTTTTCTATCAGGAACTGATAAAGAAATTACAGGATGATCACTGACTATTACTGATGAGTTTGAAGTTTCTATTGTAGGTTTGTCAGAAACAGGATATGTTGGATGTTTGCCATTGGAGGATGAAGCTAAACTGTAACGCTGAAATTAAAAGAAGATCATGTTCGATAGTATGTATTATTCAGATTTGTGATTTATGAAGATAAAACTGTATTTTGACAGAATTTATTTTAGAACAACATATATAAGCGAACAATATTGTTTTCGATTAGATCCTCATCAGGCTTTACTCTAATATACAGTAATATTTATATGCTGATCTTAAAGCTTTACAATATAAGTAAAAGATTAAAAAAATTGATTGATATAAAGATTATGAATCGTTGAATTTAAATTCATCACTTTTGAAGTAACCGCATTTTTTGTAACTCCCGTAGGCTCTAAGTACAATGTTAAGTGGAATGGTGAGTAAAAATGAGCCATAGAGTCTTAAGTTATGCTCTGCAGTCTCTACATTTTCTCCAACTGGTATCAATTGAAGACTAAATGTTTAAACTATATTGTTATGAGGTTCATTCTCCTTATCCTTTGAAAACTATGAGTTTGACTGTATTTATTATCTGTTCGAAATAATGTCCTTTACTCACCTATTGAATTATTAATTAAACGAAATTCGCTCTATTCAACGACAGTGATTCTTTAATCTGATATTAAATTGTACAATTATGTTTATTGGTTAGAGTTGAAAAGTTCCAATATGAGATAAATTAAATATTTAATAAGTTTTGTTTAACAGTGATTTGCCGGATGACATCAGTTTGTGGATGAAAAGTTTTTTAAAATATTTATAACATGAATAAATATTCATAAGCAGAGATGGATGGTAGCTAGCAGTGGAATGCACGATATGTGTTTCGTCCTATTTAGCACTTGTCAGCTGGATTTAGCTACTAGCCACTATCTACCTCTGCTTATAGTGCTTGCGATTTTAGGTAATATCGAGACAATCCGCACAGGATTCAAATATGCCAATAAAAGATTGATGAATTACAGTCCTAAACATCAACGGGAGTAGTTAAATAATTAATGCAAAATGAATTAATAAATAATGCTTAGATATTATTTTAAAACAATTTGAACATCCTAGATAAAATCATATTTGTGACCAAATTACAAATATGCGGAAGTATATTGCTACATATTATTAGAATAATAAATACAATAATTACTATGGATAACAAAATTGCATCTAGAGAAGGGAAATCATAAATGAAATTGTAAATTCTCTGTTATCCAACAATCCAGTTGATTCTAAACAAAAATCGATAGACATTTTGATGGACTGGTGAAAATTTAGCATAAACAACCGAATACCACACATTACAAAAACCACACCAGAGCTAACCGATATGAAATTTACATAAAGACATAAACCTATGAAGTATGTTTGTCATTAAAGCACATGATCACTTGACTATTAGTTTTGTAAACTCAATAAATATTCTAGACAAATCAATTGGCATGATGCATGTCTGTCTTGGTTGTTGTCTATGTGTTTACTACTAAGGGAATAGTAGTGACGAGTAATTTTGTTTTGTTTTTATAGTTCGAGAGAAAGAGCAATAACAAACATATCTCTCATCGGTTATAATTAAAATAATCAAAAATTTAAAAAGTAATTATTCTGACTCATTCCATCAACTTGAATTAACCATCGATTAGAATTAAAAGTAGTCGGAATATTTACTTTGGCTGTATGAGTTGTGCAAAAATGTGAGAGATGACATGGTAACAAAGAAAGAATTTTAGCCTTGAAATACTTGTAGAATGTAGATGTAACATTTTCTTTAAACTACTTATGAAGATGATGAATATTGATTACTCCATACTCTATATCAGAATCAAGTTGTGGAGATACATGCGTCTTTGTACTAAGAATAACAATTTTTTTAATTATGATCAAAGTAAGAAATGGAATATAAAGAACACAAAAACATTCATCAGAAAAATAACTGATAATGTAATAAAGCTTTGTAGAAGAGTATTTGTGCAGTACAACTCATAATATAAACTTGATGATTCTTTAAGAGCTCTCTTAATGAAATTAGTTCTAATTCACATATTTAACTATGAAAATCGCATTTAGACAGTAATTACAACTGGGAATTATTGACTCACTGTTCGTTGAAAGCACCAGATGACTGAACTCAAAGCTGACTTCCATAAGAGAGATCAACCCCCTAGTTTTTATTCCTTTCCTATTTGATTTATTCATCGGATAATTTTTACTACTGATGATATTCTATGTTTTCATAGCCAACTTTCCTTCTTATTGACTTCCCTAACAAGTTTGATATTTCTTTCAGCTGTTTATTGCACAGTATAAAACTAAAATTCTTATTTTCTTAATCTACTATCGTAAAACTAGAATTTCAAACAGATAACGCAATTGATTCATTATATTACATGCTTAGGTACTTAGTTTTGTATGCATGAAGGTCAGTGTTATCATAAATAAAGAGGAGTTTGAAGTTTCAGCCCATTAAACAATTACTGGATACTTTCTTTAACCACTAAAGTGACTGGATCAAACAATTCAATTAAAACATTTAAAACAACGAAACTGATACATTTCAGTTATACTTAATAATAACTAGTTCGATTAAATTATACATCAATGAAATTAAACAAAGCGATTTATCGTTTGACTGATATCTTTATTAACGGTGCATGAAGGCATAAATAATCATTAGTACAAATTATTATAAAACAAAATTCATCAGTTCAGTCTATAATTCTATTTGTTTTTTGTTTTTTCATTTTATAACTGAGTCATTAAATAAAATTGAAACTGGGCTAAATTAAACAAAATACCTACCTATCAAAATCAGTTTAAAATTAATGTAATAATATATACAAATTTTTTTAATATCTCTCTCTGTATCAGTTAACTAGGAATATGGTAAGTGGAATTCTTTTACATTTTTATTGAATTGAAGATCACTTAGAGGATAGTAATTAAAGTATCCACTTTTGTTATTAAGCAAAAAAGAAATTGACATTTTATTTGAATTGTTATATTATACCTGTTGATAGTGACTATAAGTGATCGGTTAGTAAAAAGAAAACAACTAAAAAAGTACCTCAACTCAAGAATATGCATATTCTCACTAGTTGATATTAATAAATCTAATAAATATATGTTCATTTTGAGATGTTATGTCTCGACAAGCATTATGAATGTTAACTTTTGGGATCCATTATAGACCAACACTATGTGTATATTTTTATCCCATAATTATTAAATAACCAAACTATTCATATTCATGTCCCTCTTATTATGAGATTTATTTTGACTTATGAACTACCATTCTTGAGTTATGTCCTGTATATTAATTACTACCTACCTCATTCACAGCCACATTTGGCTAACTCTTGTACAAATGTTGTTTCATATTTTATGGTACGGTGTGGTCTGTTTGATTGGTATATAAACCCCGTATGTTTGAAATAATGATTCATATTGCAGAGGCTGAGATTGGTGTTCTGGACTCAACTGGCTGGGCTAGGCGGAAAGCAGGACCAATCAGGACTCTAGACTGCTCACACGTGTTTTATGCATCCTTTGTCCGATCGATAAGTCACTGCTCTCTAATTGGCGGTATCATTACGTATACATTAACAGGGCAAACAAGTTATAACAGAAGATCGCTATTATATATTGTAAAGTTGAATAATGTTTAACAGTCCAGAGTGGTCGATTCATTTAATTCGGGACTTGTCATTTCGATGTACCTGAACCCTTGTATTTACGTTCACATCAGGACTAGAACGCAGTAAATTTCAAAGTAACCTTAAAACGTGTTGTTATTATACAGACTAACTAATAAGTGAGAAAAGAAGACTAAACATATCTTCTCAGATCGAGTTAACGGTTTTAGCCGTCAGTTAAACTAAACCTTAAAAGATGAACTTTAGATACTTGGTTTTAGCAAAATACTAGTCATGAAAGTTCTATTGTCGAGTGATTTATTATATACTATAACTTATTCTTCATATTTTTCAGTATTCCATTAGTTTAAGCTTAGTTATTTGTATATTAACACTCTCTACCACAAATAAATTATGGAAATGAATTCTGAAGCTAAAATGTATTGAGGTACCAAGTGAAATTAGATATTCAATAATTACTAATAATATATCATGATTCATGATGATAGTTTGACATTTATACTACTGTATAGTGATGAGCATTCTGTAATTATTATTCATATAACATTCAATGCTAAATAACTATCTAAAAACGATCAAGCCGAAAAAGTATGCTATTACTTACTCGAGTGAACTGATTATTTTCCTGTTCTAATTCTTTCATTTTCTCTTCAACCACTTCAAGTTCTCTAAGGAGACTACTCAAATCATGTTCAGCTGTAGCTTCTAACAGAAAATTAGTAAAAAGAAAAACAATAGTGGATTATTAGAAATACTATTTATGAAAAGGTAGTATTAATTCAATAGTAATTCATTATTAATGAATAATCTGACAAAACATTTAAATTAAAAGTACATTGATAATTTTTCTCTTTGCCTTTATATTTACCGGTTTCATATGAAAAATCTAATTACAGCAGTTAATTACTGTTTGACGATTTACATATAGAGTATCTGTAAACGGGGTAGAAGTGGTTGGCGAAAAACCGTAGACCGATGTTTTTTTATAGTTGTCATTTGAGAACAAGACTTACTGTAAGTTTCGGGCAAAATAATCGTTCTTAGTTGATTCAAACCAAGGAGAAACAAATATGAAAGTAACGTAGAGTTCGATGAACACGAAAGAATAATACAAATATAGCAGTAGTCACCATTTAGTAATCAATCGATTGTGATTCGTAGTGTACTTGTTCATTATCATAAATTCAAACAGAGAACTCGTTTTCATTAATTATTTATTTAGTGTCATTTAGTCTGAATATTACAAAAAATAATTCAACTTTAATATTTTAAATTCAGTTTAGCTTTATTCTTGATTATGGTGTTCATGTGACGATATTTTGAGCACAGCAGTAGAGATTTAGTAAACAGGAGCTCATAAAAATAACTTGACACCAAACACCCTCAGTTTGTAAGTACTAGTTAGCTCTATTTAAAAAACAGAGTTTATTTTCATGTGCTTCAGTTTACGACTTATGAGCAAAACAAAATGTTTGACTAAAAACTAAGAACATAATATCTGTACTGTGTTAATCACCTTAAGTAGAATAATTTCAAAGACTTCCACCACTTGAATGCTTGCTTTTTGTAAAATAAGCAATCTCATTACATTAAAAAGCATAATACTTCAAATCAATAAAATCTTTATTAGGTACTCTTACAAAACTGGAAAATCAAAACAGTAGTAGTCCAAAAAACAATTCCGATCGATTATTTTCCAGGGAAGAACAACCGTAATGTTGAATTTATCTGAACAAGATAGAATATGACTTATATTGAGTCACTTAATCGAAAACTGAATAAAATTCTATTCCCTAATGTTTCTGAATTACATTCTATGAGTGTCAGTCGGTGAAAATAAGAAGTTAGTAAAAATTAGTCAATAATAACGATGAATATGATCAAGAAATATCTCTCAACCAACGTAAACATTTAAAACATGTCACAATAAATGACAACTATTTCAAATTTTGAACATATTTTACAGTTAGTCAAGTGTGTACATCAACTCTGGGATGCAGGCACATCCAGCTGACGAGTTCCAAATAGGAAGAAACTCGCGTTCTGGATTCCATTGCCAGCCACCATCATCTTTGTTTAGAACAAGTATACTCTTATAAAAAAATTAGTAACATATAAGAAAGGGATACAATATTATTTTAAAATAATATAAACCACATCCACTTGTGATAACCCAAGTAAATTAGTTTTGAAACGATAATATGTCTTAAAAAAATTTTCATGTACGTATATGGACATTAAAAATTGAATAATCAATAAACATATGAAGTTTTAGTTATGCTGATCATTTGAATATATAATTATTAAAAATCAGTCTTAGGGTTCTGCATCTGATCTCCGGTAAGGTTGAAGATGTTCACTACTATCAAGTCTCACATTAGGATTGAATAAGTGTGCAGTGCTATCTGGTTTTAAATGGTTATCTATCTATGATATAAATTATGCAAAACCAGTCAGTTATATGACACATTTAGTTTATACTTTAATTGTATTCCACTAAAAAAGCATCTGGTTGCTGCACAAGAAAACCATAGCGTATCCTTCCAAAAATAGTGCCCTTGTCTTTACCTTTAAATGTATTTGAAAAGCTAATTTCTTTTAAAAAAGAAAACAAAACATTGCAAACTTTTGATTATTGTTTCTCGACATGAACTAAAGAATCAAGTGCCCTTTGTCTGACCACGAATTCAACTCCTGTAATCTTTCAACACACATTCTGTAGCTAGTTAGGTTGTGAAGATGGTAACATAAAGTTCATTTGCAAATAACTTCCGCTATGAAATAAATGTTTTTATAATCTCATTTAATGTTTGAAGTTGTGGCTATAAATTACTGTTACAGTTTGACTTTAAATTTCTTGACAAACTGTTCAGATAACACATTGATTGTTGTTCATAAAGTACACTACTACTGAGACCACTCCTTGTTCTCATTTGATTAGTTGTCACCTTAAAAAGTTATTAATATAGTTATTGTACATTTTTGTTTACAAATCACACTTTTTTTATCTTTTACTGAATCGAATAATTAACTTGGATTAGATGTCACATATTACATGATATAACTAACACATCACAAACTACGTCCATACAATACCTATTTATTTTTATTTGCTTAATATTAAATAACTCTCTACGTTTTTCGATTCAATAACTTTGTTAGTTTAAACGAATTTGTACAAACATTAATATATGTAACGTTTTATTCTGTGAATGATACAGATCAATTGTTAATGTCGAATCCAGTAGAGATCTGATTCCATAAAAAGATAATAAACGAATAAATGTATAGAAAAAACTAATAATATAACAGCAATAGTTGTTAATACTTACAGAAAAAACAGTTACGTGAACTCTTGATAAATAAACGACTTCTAATTGAAGTAAACAGTGATGATATCGTGCACAATAATAATTAAAACATCATAGTTAAACCAGTCAATTTGGAAAATACAACACAAAAAACGATTTACTAGTTAAATAATTTTAAAATATGGCTCATCAACAAGACTAATTAGTTTCAATCAATCAATAATGAGAAAAAAAATCAATATATTTTACAGTTTACCATTCATTGAATAATTTAATGAGGAAAGGTAGTTATTTAAATACACCAATTAATAATAACATGATACTTACTTACTTACGCCTGTTACTCCCAATGGAGTATAGGCCGCCAACCAGCAATAACATGATATTAACATAATATTTTATTTGAATTGATCACGGTCAACCAACAGATTATTTCAAACTTACATAAATTCTTCTCAATTAATGAACATAGGCAAATTAGATGTATTATTTGCACATTTTGAAAATAATTCCAGTCTTAATTTACTTAATCGTAGTATAGTTAAAACATTTAGAGAATATTAACTAAAGTGATCAACTATTCATTAGTCTGATTTCATATAAATTTATATGTTCCGTGATTTAGTCCATTGACTGTTATAAGATAAACATTAGTATGAATAAAATAATCATATATGAAGACAGGAACTTTATTTTTTTTCTCTCATTTCAATAAATCAAGACTATTAACAATTTTTTTTCAAGATAGTAATTTAGTCTAAACAAAATATCAAATGAAACAATATTCACATTGATATTGATAATTTAATCATTGTTTAAAATCCAAACATGTGAATAATTCCATTTATTGGACATATTACAAAAAAATATTATTATCAGAAGAGGTTTTTGTGGACATTATAATAATTTCAATAGTTGAGATCGTGAATCAATTGAAGCTTGAACAACTGGAAGCATTAGACAAACGTTTCGTCCTATTGTTGGACTCCTCAGTGGTGCGCATTCACGACATCGCCTCGCGAGATTCGAACCCAGGATCTATCGATGTTGCGTGTGATCGCTTAACCACTAGACCACTGGGCTGCCCGGTGTCCAACGGTTTTAAAGTCTAGCTTCAATTGAACCACGAAATTGAGCGACACATGGTCTAGCTTTAATTGACTCATGATCTCAACTATTGAACTTACAATATTAACCACAAAGCCCCTTCTGACGTTAATCAACATATACTCACTAGTGACTGGCTTCAAGAGGTATTTCTCGGAGTTCTAGTGAGACGCAGTGACCAGTGCAGTTCTACCTTGTCTGTTGTGAGATGGTAACTCATTGACGACATTGGTGGATGTGTCGCTCAATTTCGTGGTTTAGTTGAAGTTAGATATTAACACCGTTGAATGCCGGTCAGCTCAGTAGTCTAGTGGTTAAGTGCTCACGCGCAAGACCGATAGGTCCTGGGTTCGAATCTCGCGAGGCGATGTCGTGAATGCGCACTGCTGAGAAGTCCCACAATAGAACGAAACGTTTGTCTAGTGCTTCCAGGTTTTTCATGGTGGTCTAGCTTTAATTGACTCATGATCTCAACCATAGAAATATTATTACTGATAATTTTATTCAGTAATAACAATTACAATAATTAAAATTATAAGTTCATTAATATGGAGTATGTAGATATGATTCAATGTTTAAGATTGTTTATGTTGTTCATCAAAATCATTTGAAAATTAAAATGTTTGTTTTTAATTTCATAGAGTACAATGATAAATACAGAAAAAAATATTTTACTTTTCTTAAACCAATGTATCGATTTATTTGTTTTTTCACTTCTGATTATATTCTATTATAACCAACATGAAAAAAGTAGGTAATTTTATTCTCTAATATTAGAATTGATAATTGTTTTTTATGTTTTTGAAATATCGAATCAATACACTTGTTTTTTTTTCTTTTCTTTTTTTTGATACATGAACTTATATCCAAGGAAACCGAAAGGTTAATTAACTATACTTCATTCATAATATCAATTATCATTGTATTTATGGAAGAATTCCCTTTCATTTTATTTCTCAATTAAATGTAAAATACACAATATTTGTTTTAAAAAAACTATTTTCAACTTTGAAATTACTTCAAGTATAAACAAAACGAGAAAAAGAATCATAAGAACCATAGGAAAAATAAACATACAATGAATAACACAGACTAATAGTTTTTTTTTTTTTTTCCTTTCTTTTCATTTCCTCTTATCTAGATTTTATGAATATATGTGACTATTATACTCTTTTATTCTTAAAGAAATGTGAAAAAAATCGAAACAAAATAGAAAATACAACAAAAATGTCAATAGTACACCTTAGTAAAAGTCATATGAATTTTATTCTGGAAAAAAATATTTAT